AGCACAGCTTTAGCTCTTCTGACAAATGCTTCACCAGATACCTGTTGGGATCATATTAGCCTCCTGACACCACCATCCATGTTGTTTTCAGTAACCAGGCATCATCTGGCCAATGAACACGCTCTAGGCTTCCTTCTCTACAGATATTTTCAGCTAATGAACTCCTAATTTATAGCAGAATTTCTCGTAATGGATGTAATTGATTATTAGCACACAGCATGGTACGTTTCACTACATTTCTGCTATTTGGGTTCTGAAGAGCATCCAGTTCTTTCTACGTGATGACTCAGACTCTGTTCATTTTTATTGAATTTATTAAAGCTGCTGAATTTTAGCCCATTTTCATTTGCCTCGCTTGAGTCTAAATTAACAGTTAAGCTTCTAATTATGTACCACTATAACCAACTGAGTCTGAGGAATCAGTGATGTCTATTTGTAAATTCATGCCTGTGTTTGTATGCCTAACCCTCTACCCTCGTATTTTATGCATACTCAGAATAAGATGCCATCAAACATGACAAAAGATTATCTGATGAACCATTCAGCTATAATGCTTATCTAAATTGAACGCTGTGTAAAATAAATTACAGTTTGCTAAGGAAAATAAAACATGTTTTACCTTACATTAAAAAATGCATTTACTCCCCAAATCAATCATGTATCCCAAGGTTGATGAGTAAATTAAAATCTCTGCTCCTGTAAGCACGAGGGTCTGTGTTGGTAGGTACAGATAGCTTTGGCACTTGTTTATTTTTATCTGTGGAATGATTCCTCTCTTGAAAGAAGGCACTTGTGCCCACGGCTTGTATATACTTTTTTTGCTGTGCTTCTCGTGATTTCTTTTTTTTTAGTAGTTATTCTGTTTTCATCAAGCATTGCTGAAGAGTACTTGCAGTCCTTGTGAGGGGTAAGATGAAATGGCAGGTAGTGTGATGCCTTCTGGGTTCTTGTCTGAAACAAATCTGCACAAGCAACAAAGTAGGACGTTCTGAAGGGACATGTAACTCAAGGCATGTTGACAGCAAGTATTTTCCTTGTAGAGAGATTGCCAAGAGATTATTCTTAGTTGTCTTAGGTCAGAGTCACCCCGAAGTGCTCAGCTCTTGAGAAATTCTCTGCCAAAGTCACTTCAAAAATGTTCTTTTTTATGTTGAGTCATTTGTTCCTGTTTTGCTAGGTGCTTGTGGTTTGAGATTTCTGGTATCATGTAGTGTCAAGAAAATATGAAATCTTAATAGACACAAAGCTTTCTGGTATTCAAATGCCAGGGCTCAAACTAAGATAAGTACTGAACTAACTTTTACTTCTTCTGCTTATGTATCCTTCCTTCTTAGAGACTGCTATCAGTAGGGGTCTGATACTTGCAATAGCCAGCAGTCTAAAAACATATTCTGTAAGTCCACTTCTGTAATGACATTTCCTAATTCCCACTAAACCAGTTGATATTTAAATGTTTAGGTAACTTGTATAATATAGACTTTCATTCACTCATGACTTGCAAGACTTAGAGATGTGTAAGAATTACTTTCTTTTTTTTGTTCTGAAGACAAATTATCCTGTGTCATGTTAAAAGCTCTAATTATTTTTCTGTGACAGATATTTCAAAAAATATCCCAGACTTACGAAGAACCAAGCAGTGGCTACCTTTTTGGTAGCAGTCAGCAGTGAGCAGGAGGATGTAAATTCCTTCAAAGTAGGCTTTTACTTTGCTATTCCTCCATGTTTGCAATGTGGAATACTGCACTCCCTTATTAGAGTATACTCACTCGGTGATTTGGGTGTTAAATTTTGCTGTTGTGCATTAGTTTTTTCAAAGTAAAAATAAAAGAGGCAGAAATTTCAAAGGCAAAACCAAGATGAAAGACAGAATACTGCTTTACACTTTTAAGAACAGATGGAAACCTGGACTAAGAGAACTGAACTTTAAATTACATCAAAAAATGTCCAAGAGCAAGTTGAATAGCTTTCTTATTCAGATTGTATTTGAACCTGTCACAGAAAGCACACATTTTCTGTTCTCTTGGATTAATGTATTAGTTCGAAAAGTATCCTAGTCCTATGCTGTTTGATGTAGCTTCTCTGAGGGATGAGTATCTGATTTTTCATGCTTCCTGGGAATCTATAATCATACAGGACTTTACCATCGTACAGGATTTTATGTCCAACCAGTCACACATACGAATATTTCTGGTTGCTGTGGAAATGTCAGAAGGATCTCACAGATGCATCTTGAAGTGTTAAAGATACTGAAAAACACAGCTACTTGCGGGCTGTCATGGATGAACCAGCTGGGTGCCCTCTTATTGTGTTCAGACTCTCTGGGCATTCAGACCTTGACATTGACTTTTTTGGTATCTATTCTCATAGATATGGACTCTTTGGTAACAACTCTCTCACAATTAAGCAACTAAACAGTCAAGAGAGAAAGATCAAGTTGCAGACATGGGATAAGAAACCTACTAAAGTAAAATTAAATTCCCTAAATTGCTCCCCCAAGAGTCAAAAGAGGGGCATGCAGGTGTTTTGCAGTCTAATGGAAAAATGCGTCTTTTTCTCAATTACTTGATGTTGTGAAATCTGGCTTACAACAAAAGTTTTGAGGAACATAAAAGAGTGGTAAAATCCCATCTTCTACACAGTAAGAAAGCAAGAAATAAAATGAGAAATATTTTTTAATGTTTGTGTTTAGATGCTTGGAAGGGATGCAGACAAAAGAGGTGTAAGGCCATTTAAACTGAAAGAACCTCATATGGAGAAAGACATCACAATCATGCCCACAGGAAAAAGGATAAGAAAAACATGTAAATGGTACATAATACAATAGTAGTTGAAACAAAAAGACTGTTATTTTGAAAATAAATGGATAACGACTTCATTTAAGGCTGAAGTCCTACATTTATTCATGCATATTCTGAATTTAGATGTAGTAATTCATGTGGTGGCCCAAGTTAATAATATGTAAATTTTAGTGAGATTGAGGCCAGTTAAATTTGCAAATCAAAGTACTGCTTGGAAATGCTATCTGATTTCCAGGTATTAAGTCCATGAACTTGTTCAAAAGTAGATAGCCAGCATATATGTAACAGATGAAAAAGTTAAAAACCAAAATCTATACCACTTAAACCAAGCAGTCCACTTTTGGGAAAGTTATAATAAGCCCAGAAGAAAAAATGCCTAGTTCTTATATACAATCTATCTTAGGTGGCTGCTATAACCGTTGGTGTAGATTCATAGGATTATAGAATGGTTTAGGTTGGAAAGGACCTTAAAGATGATCCAGTCCAACCTCCCTGACATGGGCAGGGACATCTCCCATCATACCAGGCTGCCCAAAGCTCTGTCCAACCTGGCCTTGAAGACTTCCAGGAAGGGGCATCCACAACTTCCCTGGGCAACCTGTGCCATCACCACCCTCACAGTAAAGAATTTCTTCCCAATATCTGGTCTAAATCTACCCTATTCCAGTTTGAAATGATTCATGGTTTTAATTAAGCTGCTACCAAAATTTAAACATAACTTCATAATAATAAAAAGAGAAACCTTATTTATTTTCCTAGGAACATAAAGCCCCACAATTTTATTTATCTCCTACTTAGGAAAGAAGATATTTGTAATATAGGTAATTACAAATAAATTTTATTCAGTTCTTGTTTTGCAGGGAACAAACTCATTGCAAAGGAGCATAATAATAAAAAAACCCTGTTTAAACTGACTCCACTTAAGTAAGAATGCAGAGGTTTATTACTGAGAGGAAACAAACACACTTGCCATGCAGCTGGTTAGAGTGTATTATCACAGAAACACTTTAAGCTGCCTTGCGGTAAAATGAACATTGAAGTCAATGTCATCTGCCCACTCGCTAAGTCTGCGTGAGAATATTTCTCCTAAAACTTGAGAACAATGCAGTGGGAGGATGCCCGAAGGGCTGGGGAAGGGGATGCCCAACTGCTTGGGGGGCCGTGCAATGAAGCTCTGCCTGACAACCAATGTTTTGTGGACCCTACAATGAGTTTACAAGCCTGGACCATCAACAGATATTTTTTTCTAAATGTAATTTGAGTTTTATGTTTTCAGCTGGGTCTTTTGCCAGCTCTGAGGTTGTCTAAAGCTGTGTATTGATCCCTGTGTGATTCAAGCAGCATGGATGGTTTACGTAGTGGGAAGCTAGGGGAAAGCTGCTGTGTGGTGGCAAGATTGGTCTGTGCTGATGATGTTCCCTGGGTGGTAGCTTCCCATAGATGGAGTGACTGCCGGGTCCCCAAAAGACTGCTCAGGGACTTTGCCACAGTCCAGATGTGTCATGTGGAAGCCCTGCAGAGACCCTGAGGTGCCACCAACATGCCAAAGTAGGACAGTGGGGAAATACTGCATGGGAAGTGGAGGATGAGCTGCAGAGGTGGTGTGGCTGGGAGGACTTGTGTGAGCTGAGGAGAGGAGTTAGGACAGGAGGCAGCAGTAACCCAGCCCTTCAGTCCCGTTTTCTCATGATATCACTTCATAAGTGGTTGTGTATGAAACTCAGATATAATTACATAGAGTGACGGTAATGTGTTCTTGTTGGAAAAGTGACAATGTTCTCATTTTAATCATGGTCGCTGCTCTGTAATTACTTGTAAATACTCTTTATCAGTTATGTGAGACATACAATAGATGGTTTTAGTGACTCCTGAAAAACAGAGAGAAGATTTTGACTAGACACTGTTTATGTTGTTTTTTGCCATTCAGAATACATACATATTACAGCTTGCTTGAAATCAGAGGGCCAAGATGAGGCTTCACAGCAGTGGCATGCAAACCCCTTGGACTGAGTTTGTCACTCACTGGTGGTGTGCGATTGCTGTAGCTGCAGTGCTGATTCAAAATGCGTGTGCTCCTCAACAGCAGCAAGGTGTGGGCTCTTTGCAGTCGGTGCCCATCAGCTCGTGGTGCTCGAGGCTTGTGGGGAACCTCCACTTTCCTTGATACAGGTCCCAGTGTGGCTTTGCAGGGCATTGCCTGTGCTAGATGTCTTCTGGTTTGGACAGTACCTGCATCTCCAGCCCTCCATCACTCCTGTCCCGGAAAGTTCCCTCCAGCCTTCGTGTTCTTCTTTCCCTAAAGGAAATAAGGAATGATCAGAACTAAAACAGGTAGTCGATTTAGGGACTGTGTTTATGTGTTCCCTCCCTTCTCAGGAGGTAGTTGGAGTGAGAGTAAAGGAGTGATACTTGAAAGGAGGGCAGAGGCGGTTGCTGAAGAGGCAGTAGATGAGGGGGTTGATGGCACTGTTCAAGGCTGGCAGGTTCTGAATGATCACAGATGCGTAGAAGCGCTCTTTGGTCTCGGGAAGTATGTTAAAGTTGTCCAGGATGTCAAATAGAAAGTAAGGGCTCCAACAGAGAACAAATGCTGGAAGAGAGGCAGAGAGAGAAAGAGCCTGGCATTAGGTAGTTTTGCTATTTAAGGAGATAATCGCACACACATAGAGACACTGTCATAACATAAATATTTGTTTATGCAAAAAAAAATCTCTCCCTATTCAGGGTCTTATTTAAGAGAATAGTTATTAGATTGTGCTTTTATTTGTTTTTATTTTAATGCCCATAAAATATATTATGTGTGCTCCTCTAAGTGTTTAGAGTGCTCCCTCTAGACTTATTGAGGCACTTTTGAACACTACACAACACATAAAGGGTAAATAGGTAGCCAGTTAAAGCATCATAAGTTATAGTGAAGTGCTCTTTTAATGGTCCCCTGAGTGAGCAGCCAATCTAAATGTACACATCACCAAAGTGCTGCTCCGTGATAACGCTGCCTGTCACAGCCACCTATTAAAAAAGGGCTCTTAGACACGCAAAACAGGGAGTGACACCATTCACACCACATTATGGCAGACCAACGTGTCATTTTGCATGCTGGTTGGAGGTGCTGTGTACTAATTCCTATACTGCGATTGGAGAGATTAATTTGGGGAAGGGAAGAGAGGACTGTGTTGTTCATAGCCCTTGCTTTTGCTTGGAGATGATAAAAATAAAAAGTCCACAAAGCTACCTTTATTTGCAGGCACAGGGAATGAACCCATCCCTCACAAATTTGTGTCATCTTTCTCAAAGACTTCTGATTTCAAGATTTACATAGAAAGGCTGGGACAGGCAGTTTACTCAACTAAGCTGTAAGTGTACCTGGGTTGCAAATGTACAGGTATCTGTGAAATCAGACACACAATCTCTCCCTGACCCAAATGAGACAGCAGAGTGACCTCGGGCTTGCTGTCTTGTCCCTTTAATCTGCATTTCTTCACTGGCAGTTAGCTGAGCACTCACTATGCAGGGAAGAGGTAAATCCCCCTCCTGTTTCCTAAAGTAACCAACTGGCAGTGTTGGTGAACAGATACCAGCAAAATAGCAATACGCAGTGTCAGCATATGGATCATATCACTGACTACGCAGAACTTTTAAGTGGCTTTAAGGAAATTCACGAATGTTAGGGGCCTTAATCTGTTTGTGCATCAAGAGATGCTGGGTGCCTAATTCTATCAGGGTCCTTTGAAATACTGAGCATCCAGGTGAGCTCTTAACATCTGACGGCATTGCGATAGCAGTTGTTTCTGACAAAAGCTTTCTCTGATTGCTATGCAGAAAGGTTCAGACACAGAAAAGCTCTTTCTTGGGCTTCTGAAAAGCATGAATCACACCGGCCTCTCTTGTGTCTGCAAACACGGCCGCTAAACAGAGAGCTAAGCACCTTGGTAGCAGTTATTATCACAATATTATCCAATCTGAATTTTTTGTACTGTTGGAAAGAAGAGTGATCTCTTTTTCGGTGATAGGGAATGGCTGTCAGCCCTTGGGAGTAAATAGCTTCCGTTGCCTTCCTGCTTGTCTCTGGCAGCTAATCACAAGCCCTGTGTGACGCTGCCTGTATTTATTGAGATAAAATGTCAGCCTCCTAATTCCATCAGGATAATGTCATCTCCCTGGGAGACGGGAGGACACCTGCACTGAGTCATCTGCTGCCTGGTTGGAAAAGGAGAGCTTGTTCTTCCCGCCTCGGCAGGCAACACACTGTTGACACCAAATTCAGTTGCTCTGCATCTCTCACCTCTCCTCCTTCTCCCATGCACCACCCCAGCAGTTAACATGCCATGCCTAGTCTCTAAGCCTGAAAGACAATTCAGCTGCCAAGTAGATGACCCCTTCCTTTGTTCCTTTCAAGCAATTTCCCTCCTTTCTTTATGCACAAGAGGGGCTGTGCATATCTTTTCATTTGAGGCACATGTCAGATGCCTGAAGTAGGAGCCTATCAGTCAATGAAGAGAGGATAACAAGGTCAGAAGGTCAGTCAGGGCCTCGAAGTAAAGCTCCTAATCTGAGCCATCCACTGCACTTCATCTGCTAATGACTGAAGGAGTTGAGGAAGACATCAATGCCCTTCCTAGATACCAGCTGTGAGGCTTCTCACTTACCAAGGATAATTACGATGCTGTACTTGATGGCTTTCACTTTCGCCCTGGATATGAACCCGCGACAGGTGTAACCAGCAGAGGTCTTGCCACCTGGGGAAAGAACAGTTCATCTAGTGAAAGAGGAGGGCTGCTGTGTGGATGTGTCAGGCAGGGGCTCTGTAGTTCCTGAAATTTGGACACTTGCAAGCTTGCTCAAAACCTGAGCCACCCAAAATCAAAAGGGGAACTGTTAGCAGGAGAGATCTTGCTGAAGCACTGTGCCAATTGGGTATTCCTGATCCTTGACATTTAGTGAGGAAAACCACTGTCTATGTGCCCAACTGTATCAGGCTAATAAAAACCATGCGACCATCACAGCGACAAAACACAGCCAGAGTGGTGTTATAGGAGACATTTTCTGAAAGGAATGGGCAGCTACAATTAAGGAAAGAGAAAAAACAACCTGGCAAACTAGCCTACCTGTTCACTTTTAACTGCATTTCAGTCAGGATTTTTAAAAGCTACATACTCCATTTCCTTAACCTCTTACTCTTTTTTTGGTGCTTTGGATAATCAGTCATGCATTTTACTCTTCGTGTTGACTCAGTAATGAAATTTGAAATGCTGTTAGACTAGCTTTTCAGAAATGAAGTGTGGCTTGAATTGAGAAGCAAATTCTGTTCGGTCTCATACCAAGGCTGGTTGATCTCATTTCCTCGGAAGTAACAGTAATGTTTCTGAGAATTCAGTTCTGTATTTGAATAACAGTACCAGCATGATTACAGTAATATGCCCGTTTTCATTATTAGTGTCAATTCATTATTAGTGTTGTTCATGTTGCTGGTTCAGGATAATTAGGTTCACCATAGTGAATGCACAAGAAGGTCATTTTTTATCCAAATATCTTTAAACTCTTGTAGTCCAAACTTAGGACTGGAATTTTGATTAATGTAATTGGAAATAACTCTGTGTACACAACTTCTCGCACCTCTTATAAAAACAGCATATCAAGGCTGTATTATTTGTAAGAAATTTGTATAAATAAAATTAATGTGGGCTTGTTATGAGTGAAGCAAGCTTCATGTAGAAGCTTGAAATTAGTCCATATGTAATATTACTGGAAATCGCATGTTGACTTATAGAGCAGAATATACCTCTTGGATAAGGAGAATGACATTTTTATTCAAGATTAGCTAATACTGATTGTGTCATGAAGGCAGGATCTTTAGAAATCACTCCTGCTCAAGCTTTTCAGAGGAGGAATAAGTCTTAGATTATAGTTGACAGATGTCAGGTTATGACATAAGGATAGCTGAACATGTGCAACATCACATTAGGACAGTCCCTCCTGTACTAGACATGATCCATGATCCTGCTTCAGGCAAGCGCCAGTGACTTGGTCCCCATGGTTTGATGTGTTCCCACTCCCCACTTGACTGCACTACCTGGTCATGTGCTCTTACAGTTGTGTTGTAAAACATGTTAGTGTAAATGAAAAAACTTTTCTTCATAGCTAACAGGAAAGAAAGCTGATGAAGATCTTGAAATAATGTATGCTCTTTGCCAAAATAGCTCAGAACAGTCTGAAAATTTTTATTGTCTTGAAGTGGAACTCATTTTATGGCTTTCCATAGCCAGGATTTTCTGAGCTTGATTAAAATGCAGATTTGTAAGGGCATGTGAAAACACAGCAAAAGTGTTATCTAAGTATATGCTAGAAAAAAAATTATTCTGGAAATGAGGGAAGTTCTAGGAATAGGGATTCTAAGTTCTAGAATAAGTATTTTCTACTTTTTAATTATTTTCTCGCAGATATTTTCTGTCATTTCTTTAGAGGGGATTTAGAGTCAAAGGAAAGAAGATAAATAATGTAGAAAAAAGTTATGAATGAACAATTACAGTAACTCTATTCCCACTGCAGTAATGTGGGCCCAATTTGACACCGCGTGTCCAGGCATCCCTGGATTAGGGAGAACTGGCCAAATTCGAATCATGGGGCTGGAGACACATGTGTTGAGACTCACCAGGGCAGCTGGATATGATGACAGCCTGAGCTTTGCTCTTCATCCAGATAGTTCGAATCACGATTGAGTATATGATGCTACAGAAGGGAAAGA